GGGGGGGGGGGGCGCTGATTTTTGGGGAAAAGATGCATGTGGTATGAGAGTTAATACAGTATTTCAAACCTCAGTGAGCCAAGTGAATAGTGCTATGGCAATGAACTAGTGGGAGGAACACAGGGGAAGTCCACTGATCAAAATACACATCTTAATTCACACTATATTAATTCAAGACTGAAGATGACACGACAAATAAATGTTGTCAAAAGGTAGTTAAAAGGGGTTTATTGTAACATAATACATGTGAAATTGCAGATCAATTAAGAATTAATTAAATTAACTAGGAACATTCAAGCTGCTCTTCTTCATGCCACTGAAAAACAGCACTTCAGAGTATAGATAAATGCCATTTGCAGACAACATAAAAAGGGAGGAGGAGCTGCTGCTGCTCAGGAGCACACAAACAGCTATTATGCTATAACTGTTAGATCCGCATGATTCTGGGGGATCCCAGAATAGAATCACAGGAAAAATAGGGCTGGGAGGGAATTGAGGAGGTCATCCAATCCAGCTCCCTGCTACAGGTAGGATCAATCCAAGCTAAACCATTCCGTGCAATTGTTTGTTTAACCTGCTCTTAAAAAACTTCCAAGGATAGAAAATATCACAACCTTGCTAGGTAGGTACAAATGTCCAACATAATCAAATAATTTAATATCTAACAAATTTCCCTTTTTAGCAATTTAAGAACAATATTTCTTATCCTGTTCCCTGCAGCCACAAAGAAAAGGCTATCACCATCCACTTTACAGAAGAACCCCTCAGGTATCTGAAGGCTTATCAAATCCTGCCTCAGTCTTCTCTTCTCCAAACTAAATAAACCCAGTTCCTTCAAACAGTTTATGCTATGTTTCTTAGACTACTAATCATTTTTGTTGCTCTACACCGGACTCTAATTTGTTCGCGTGGGTCTGGAAGCACACTGCACAAAACTGGCCACAGTCCTCCAGAAGAGGTCTCAGAGCTGAATACAGTGAAAGAATCACTTCCTTTCACTTCTAAGGGACACACCTATTAGTACAGCCCATTATACTATTAGCTTTTTTGCAACAAGAACAAATTGTTCACTCTTATTCAGTGATCAACTAGAAAAGCTACATTTCTATAAAGTATCAACATTCAATTTGCAGTCTTGCCTAATTGTATACTCTCTATTAGATAGCTCAGAAAGATGATAAAACAGGACTCTTCTGGCATTTTCTAAATGGCACATACTAAGCTAGAATTACACTAATACAAAAAAAATTAAGAGATCACTAAAATAGAAAAAACAAGCATTGAAAACGTAAGTGGTAACAAAATTGAAGGCTGCTGTGCAACTTTAAGTAACCCCTGTTAGGCATATGCAGTATGATGTTGTCTTGAATTACTCAAACAGGCAGACCCAAGGGGCGTCAGTGGTGGAGTTGCAACCTTTTTAATTTCTGGTCTACTCAAAGTTTAAAACCTGCTGCCTAGCAGTGGTGGTAGTATTTCTATTCAGGCAGCAGTGAGGGAGTCAATTGACTTCCTACCTCATTATGATCCACCCGACTCCTCCTAAACTCTTCATTCCATGACTGCTAGTGACCTTCTCTCTTTTTTTTAGTCTTGATGTTTTAATAATCTTGATGTTTTAATAAACTGCAGCTCCTCCAGCTGTGCCTGCCTCCCCCCAGGTGGGAGGAACCCCATGGCTACCCTGCCCGACCTCATCCCCCACCCAGCCCAGCCTCCCAGCACCTAAAAAAAAAAAAAAAAATTAATTAAAGCCCCGCACTCACCAGATGCAGCAGCAGCAGGCATAAGGGCCTCTGAGGGCTCCTGCCAGAGCCCCCCGCGCAGCACAGTGACGGGAAGTGGGGATTGCCCCCCTGCTTGTCACCTGCGTTGCAGCTGCCGCACAGGTGCCAGGCAGGAGTGGGGGTTATCCCCGGTGCCCCCTGCTATGCTATGTGGGGGGGGCTCTGCCATAAGCCCTCAGAAGCGCTGATTTCCTCTGCTGCAACTGGTGAGCGTGGGGCTTTTTTTTTTTTTTTTTTTTTAAGGGCCC